ACTATCGTTCTTGACTCCGAACAATTTTATTATAAAAGGATGGTCTCCGAGATGATACATATCAAAAGACAAGAATTGGGTTTAAACAAACAGAGAGACGGAACTTTCCTGAAATCTATCTACCAGTAATTGAAAAAAGCCTCACCAATAGAATAACCTTCTCCACTCTAATTTCCTCTCCTTTTCCATTATCAATGTATAAAGACGTCGCTAGCTATGGGCCATCACATTTTTGTTAGTAATAATTCTTACTTAAGGTAATTCTTACCTAAGGTCCAATTTTTGTCTTTAATTTATACTATTAACTCCGAATTACACTTGCGAGGATTTGCGTCACAAAATACGTGGTAAGTAATTATTGCTATGAAACTGATTCTCACGAATAATACTGTATCGTAAAGTAATATTGTCGAAAACTATTTTCTTTCTTAATTTAAATAGAATCTGGAAATTCCGTTTTTTTTACACGAAATCGCATTTTACTTCTTGTAATAAGGAATCCTAAACGTAATAAAAAATACTTCATAACCGATTGTTCAACTTCAATTTCTGGATTTCAACTTACTCTGTTAACTCGTACCCATAACGATTGTAAAATTGTTTTATCATCTTTTTTGATTAGCTTTCATCGTTTAATTTTATGTATTTCTTTATTTAACATCTTGATATTGTTATGTACTAATGGTCAAATCTTGACGGCATGTAATCGTATACAGCACGCACACACACGCGCGCGCGCAACCATACATGTATACATATAGAGAATTAAAAATGTATATATAAATATATATGATTAGAGTGAAAATGCTTGTATATTTTCAAAACAAATTAAATAAAGGCTTATTTCGAGCTTATAATTAGGATTAGAGAAAACTGAGATACTACAAACGTCCCTAAGAATGAATTTATTAATGCGGTTAAATTTATCTTAACATCAACATATTTTACATTTAATGGAATTCAATGGAATCATTTATGAACAAACATTTGGTACACCTATGGGTTCTCCCCTTTCCCTTTTATATCTGATATTGTGATGGAGATTTAGAAGAGAGAATATTGAATTTTCTAGAATTTCGGATTTCCAGTTACTTTAGATGTTGATGATGTCTTTATGATCGCCTAAAGATAAGATTACTCAGATTTTAAATTCTTTTAATGATAGCAGCATGATAGATTCAAATTTACTGAATATGAGGAAGACCATTGTTTGAATTTTCTGAATCTATCGGTTATCAATAAAGATAATACAATTTTAAATTAATATCATAAAAAAACGTTTTCGGGCAGGTATTTATCTTTCTTTTCAAATCATTCCACATGTCACAAGATCAAAACTATGTATAATCTTGTAGAACGATATTATTATCGAATTCTGCATTTTATAATAAGAACTTAGAATTAATGATAGAGATTTTGAAGAATAACGGCTATCCTTTCAAAACGAATTAAATTAATTTAATTGTATCAATAAAAGAATTAAAAGTTTGGTCAACAAAAAGTCCTCAATGATAAATAATAATACTAGTTCGGATGTTGGTGACAATGATGAAGTTTTAAGAAACTTAATAATTTTTTTTTTTATATAAAATTCATTTCCAATAAAATTATTAAGTCTATTAACAAATTTACAAATATGATTGGCTATAGGTGCTTACAAACAAGCTTAATAAATTTATTAAAGTTCATAAAGACAAAAATCAACAGAAAAAAAATAATAACGTCATATACAAATTAAATTGTAATAACTGTGATGCCTCTTATGTTAGACAAACTAAAAGGCATCACAGTTACAGACAAGAATTAAAGAACATCGCAATAACATAAAATTAGATCAATCCAAACACTCAGTAATCATGAAACATATCACTGAAACAAATCATAATTTTTTAATTGGGTAAAAGTTAATATACTTGATTTTGAAAAGAATTATTGCAAAAAAAATATTTCTGAAATGATTCATATTAAAGAACAAAAACGATTTAAATTTAATGAAAGATATTGAGTTATTGGACATCTCTTATTTTAACATATTGGAAGACATATGTGAATATATAGTAAATTGTTACAGCTTTGAATAAACTTGTTTTTACATTCGATTTTATTGACTTACTCTTTTATTTGATCTACACATCACATCAATCAATTTTCAAATGAGTAACAAACAACTTCTAATTTTAATGTATTTGACTAGATCTTCGATTGCTTTTTACCGAGCTTTTTACCGAGCACTAATTTATAATTTTACCGTTACTTTTTAAATTTTTGGTAACATCTAAATTGAGCAAAAAACAAAAACGCGATTTTGTAATATAATAATGTTTTGATACAGAATTAAACTACTATTTTGATTAGAAAAGAAATGTCTTTGAATTGTGATACAATTTCTTTTAAAAAGAATTTGGAAAATCCTTCAATAGGAGTATATACAAATATGTATACTTAGATTTCATTGTATACAAATAAAGATAATCCCACTTGGATTATATTCTTTATTTACTTTATCATAGAGTTTAACTTGACGTTAGTTATTGATATAAAATGATATAAAAAAAATGATATAAAATATTTTATATTAGGTGTACAACTTTGCTTCCGCCGTTTTCCTATAGATGGCTTTAGCGGTAAGTGGTGGTCGAAATAAATAGATCATATAAATTTGAGCATCTGTCAACCCCATAGAAACATTAATCGATTTGTGTCTGCATCATAAAGTTATTCTCGATTGAAAATGTCAGTTTACGAGCCAAATTCTCGTCATTTGCGGGAGGTTTAATTTCTTGCTTCAATATGAAGAAATCTGCGGCTGAGGCTCATCGAATGCTCTCAAATACTTATGGTGAGGTCGCTATTAGTGAAAGAATGTGTCGTGAGTGGTTTCAACGCTTCAAAAACAGTGATTTTGACGTCGAAGACCGGCATAGCGGTGGAAGAGAGAAGATTTTCGAAGATGCAGAATTGGAGGCATTACTTGAGCAAGACTCGTGTCAAAATCAAGAAGAATTGGCACGATCATTGGGAGTGACTCAACAAGCCATTTCAAAATGTCTCAAAGCCATGGCAATGATTCAGAAGCAAGGGTGCCGTACGAAGCCGAGAGATGTTGAACGGCGTTTGTTTGCTTGTGAACAGCTGCTTGAAAGGCAAAGATGGGATTTCTGCATCGCATTGTGACTGGGGACGAAAAATGGGTTCATT